GAGCCTCAAGGGCCAGAGATGCCATAGGAAGCACCACTGACCTCAATGAAGGGTGCACATGTCACAGCATTTAGGACACATCTGCCAGGGGTGCTTCCTGCTGTCTCCTACTCACAGGGGCCAAGGGACAGTGGAGCTGCAGGCTGGGAGCTGTGCTTTGACCTGTCTGGACCCCGGGGCTCAGGCAGCACTGCGTAGCCACCTCCTAGAGGAGACCAGCAGGTGGCCTGAGCACAGGGAGGGGCAGTGGAGCAGGGGAAATCAAGGACATAAAGACCTATGTGGCCTGGGGGCCAAAGGGGGCAGGGAGCAGGCACAGGACAGGGACCCGGTGTCCTGTGCCCTGTGTGAACAAACAGATCTCCAGGACTCCCAGACGCCTGAGCGTCTCCCTGCTCACTGAGGAGCAGAGATTTTTTTTTTTCATGGCAATGAAATATGTTTGACATTTAACAAAATATGGCGATGACGCCAGAAGAGGTCATTTCTCATTGGTTCCTATGAGAAGGTTATTCTATAGACGGGGATCAGCAGGTTGATGCTGAGGCTCAGGCCTCCTGCAATGGGAGTCCACGGTCCAGATGGGGTCTTCATTAGCCCATGGCATTTACTGGTGTCCCCTTCTCCATGTGACACAGGTAGGCGGCCTGGGGTGACCTTCAGGGCTTCCCGCCTATATCCACATCCACAGAGCCTGAGGTGTGAGCTTTAGAGATGTGCTCCCCAAGGTGACCCCTGGGGTCTCCCACTCTCTAAAGCCCCACTCTGCCCATTCCTGACAAGCGTGTCTATTCCTCTGGCCACTGACCCTCTCATGGGATCTGCACAGGGCCCTCCCTCCTGCTAGGAACACCTCCCTACTATCCCTCCCCAAGTCCTCACTGAAAGGCTGTGTTTGTGGGGCCTGCCTCCCCTAGAATGGAGCCTGCTCCTGGGCCTGGGGGTGTGTATTTTTCCGAGGTCTCCTCTATCGACCTTTAATTACACTGTTTGCCCGGCTTCCCAAACCATTAACTCCACCTCACAGCAACCACACGTCAATTAATGGAGGGCCTGCTCCCAGCCCAAGCTCCTGAACACAATTAAGCGTGACAGTCCACAAATAAGAAAGAACTGGAGAATTAATTAAGGTCTAAACAAATTAATTACCAGTCCCCAATCGATTTCGATGCCAACACACATGCTCCTGGGCTCACCGTCTTTCCTAACATCTCCATGTATAAATAGAAACCAAGATTTCCCACATGACTGCCATTCTAGACCAGGGCCACAGCGTGGCTCTGAAACCACCTTGAGGGAGGGAGGTGGCTGCAGCGAGCATCCCAGGCTTCCCACATAGTTAGCACGGATACGTGCATCAGCCACACGTGGGGGGACACACGTGCACAGGCACACACAGCCCCAGTTGAAAAATTGGGTGACCTGGAGGTGGAATGCTCCCGGCAGGACACTGAGTAGCCCTGGCCACTTCTGGACACATCCCTGTTTCTCCATGACAGAGGCACAGGGTTATCCACACGGGCTTGAAGTAGCCCTGGGTCGGCCTGGGGTTTGGTCAATTTAGAATATAACTTTCAGTGAGTCAGGATTTACTTATGCTTCTGTAAAATGAGGATGGCTTTAAGGTCCTCCCAGCACAAAATGAAGAACACCGCTGGAGAGGCGAGGAGAGGTGTGCAGTTCCTGGGAGTGTTGGGCTCTGCAAACCCAGAGGAGGCTTCTGGTGACCGTCGGGGAGATCCCAGTGGCAAGGGACTCCATGGGTAAGAGGAAGGATGGGGAGCAATGGAATCAGGTGCAGGGACCTCGTGTCCTGTGCCCAGGTGTCTCAGGCCTCTCTCTCAATATCATGGAGCAGAGAAAAGATATCTCCCCTCACCTCCCAGGCTTCCGGCTGGGGAGGAGCCTGGAGGAGCAGGACAGAGCAGGGGGAAGAAGCAATTGATTCCTGGGAGCCTCCTTGTTCCCAGCCTGCCCAGGAGAGTGGGAGTGGGGTGCGGCTTCTGAGCTTGGGCACACTGCTCTTCAGGACCCCCCATTACCCTACACACGCAGGCACACCACCCCCAACACAAGGCTTCATTTGATCACTTCCACCCACTTCTCCCAACTTCCAATGTGCACCCACAGCTCATTGAGTGTGGTCCCCTATGGTGCCAGTGGCCCAAAGGGCCCAAAGGATACTTTACGAGGTGAAGCACATCCTGAGCAAGCTTGTAAGCAGCCTTCCTGTGGTTCAGCCTGCTCCAGCCTCACTTGTCTTAGAAAGTAGGGCCAATCAAGCCCTACCAGCCTGCAGTGTGGCTCAGAGATGCTTTGTTCTGGGCAGGGGCACCCGGGGAAAGGTGGAGAAGGCCAGGTGCAGAGACTGGATGTTGGATTAAGAGGACCAGGGGGTTTTTCAGCCCTTGGTGGGTGAGGGTGCGGCACTCCACTGCATTTCCCATAGCATGGTGTCAGCCCTGACTGGGGGAGTTGACCAGTGTCTGTTTGCAGATGGGCCTGGGCTGCAGAAGGGCCTGCTTCTCCGGGCAAGCTAGGACTAGCAAGGTTGCAAGCCATGCTGCAGATGACTTGTGCAACTGCCTAGGAGCTTGGGGGATCTCAAGACACCTAACCATGGCTGGATTTGTGAGGGAGCCGAAGACTCCTTCCCCATGAGAAGCTGGGAGGGGAGTCAGACTGCGCCAGAGGCTCAGACTGAAAGAAGGAGTCAGACTCCTCTTTAAGGAGTCCCAGAGAGGTCAAAACCATCTCAAGGTTACCCAGCAAGATGGCAGCAGAGAGGTCTGGAAAGGGCCCCTGGCAAAGTTATCTGAAGCTTGGTTCAAGGACAGATTACATCTGTGTGGAGTCTTAGATCCAGTCCAGGGCAGCTGGGAGCTGCTGGTTCTCAGGCTGCTTCTGATCCTTCAACCCCAATGGCCACAAGCACCAGTTGGGCAGCCACGTTTATTCAATTAGGTCCAGTAACAAAGTCAGACCTAAAGAGGTATTCCATTAATGGCCCATGACAGAAATAGCTGAGTTCATTAAAAGTGTGGAGTTGCCATAGCAATTATCTGCGTCTGCAGAGGCTCAGCCGGGTGGTTCTGGGAGTTCATTAGCCTCTGGGCCATGGAGGAGGTGGGGCTGCCCAGGAACAATCTCCCACCTTCTCACGGGGGCTTCACAGGTGCCCCCAAACACTTTACTATCAATGAAATCTGGTCTGTGGCCTTATTTGCTTCTCCCAGAGCTCTGGGCTATAGGAGTGGGTAAACAGAAGGGGAAGCAGACCCCTCAGGTGAAGATCAGGGTCAAGGCCACAAGCTTGGGCTCTTCAGACCAAACCTCAGTACCAGGGAGGTCATGAGACCTCAGGCCATGTGCCACATTTGTCCTTGGGCACCAGATGTGGGGAGGGGGACTCTGATAGTGTTTGGGCACTTGCTTAAATGTCTCCTTTGACAACTAGTCATGCCCTGCTTTTGTCCTGCTCTAGATGTTTATTTCACTTTGAAAAATGTTCCACTTTTGGGGACTTAACAAAGTCAGACCTAAAGAGGTATTCTTTCCCTAAATAAAGTTCAGGTTTCCTAAGAGCCAGGCCAGGATTTGTGGCATTTCCAGGGTTTGGCAAAAGCTTTCAACCTTCTTTTGTGCCAGGAACCTCTCTGACAGTAACATTAGGCCTACATACCCCTCTCAGGGTCATTTTTCCTGCCTGGTATGGTGGCACATGCCTGTAATCCCAACAACTCAGGAGGTCAAGCAGGAAGATCACAAGTTCAAGGCCAGCCTGAGCGAAATAGGAAGACCCTGACTCAAAATAAAAATAAAAAGTAGGGCTGGAATGTAGCTTAATGCTAAAGCACCTCTGAGTTCAATCTCCAGTGCCCCCAAAAAGTAAAAGGTGGAAAAGGAGGTGGAGGAAGAGAAGGAGGAGAGGGGGAAGAGGAAGAAGACAACTGTTTGTAAATGCATAAAACAAAATTCAAAGGATTACAAAGGGATTATATTAAAACAAGTTATTAAAAATCTTTAAATTGTGATTTGGTATTAGATGTGTTCTTTAATGAATTGAAAATAAGATCTAGCAATGTATATATTAAATACAAATATTCTGAATTACTGTAGTGCATAAACAATGTTTTAAGATCTCCAAGTGACAACTGTGTCCCATAAGTATCTGTGATTTCCACTGGTGACAAAGCCACTGGTCCTGCTCCTTACTGTGGTTTGCTGGGTGCATTCATGATGGAAGAAAATGCTACATTTCTGTTAATGGTCAGGGTAAGTATTTTACAAGTTCACAGGATCCACTGTATCATGTCTACTGAGCATTGGGGGCCTGGGGACCCCAGGTTAAGAATTCCCATAAGATCCATGCTTACTGATGTAGCAGTACACATCTGTAATCCTGGTTACTCGGGAGACAAGACAGCAGGATCTCAAGTTCAAGGCCAGCCTCAGCAGCTCAGCAAGACCCTCTCAAACTGTTATCATTATTATTGTTTAATATATTTCTTCAATTGAAAAATATATGCTGAGAAAGAAAAAAAACTATTGAAAAATTTTATTATTATTACTATTGTACTGGGGATTGACCCCAGGGCCTTGAGCATACTAGGCAAGCAATCTACCACAGAGCTATACCCCCCAGACCTCCAAGAAAACAAAAGAGTGCTGGGTTGTAGCTCAGTGGTCAAGTGCTTGCATAGCATGCTTGAGGCCCTGGGTTCAATTCCTACTACTGCAAAAGAAAAAAGAAAGAAAGAAAGAAAGAAAAATAAAAAAGAATTCCTGTGCAATATGTAGAATTTCAGCATGGAGCTGGGCAGGGAAGCCCTGTCATCCTTTCTTCTATCTGCACACATTTCACTCCAGTTCCCCCAGCAGAACCCCTGCAGGCATCAGGAGAGGTGTGGAAGGGCTGTAGGTCCTGCTGGCTGGGAGCCCCATGGTCCCACCCACCCAAGGGCAGCACTCCCCAGATCCATGCACTATGCAGCTCTTACCTACAGCAGGGAATGGTACAAATCTCTGCACAAGAAGGCGGGTGGCTGGGGTGAACTTGTTGGCTTTCTGAACCAGGACATTAAGGCCCACCTTGGAAAGAATAAAAAACAAAAAACAGAAAAAGTTGCAATGGCTTATGGGAAGAAAGGGCAGAACTGGAGGAAAAGCAGCTCTCCCTCAACCTGTGTGAGATAGTGCAGCCCCTCCAGTCCCCAGCACCCACATTCAGCCCTACGTGTTCAGTGCATGTCCATCAGATGCTACTTGAGTCTTCTGGTCTTTGACCTTTGCCAGGACTGGTTCCCATGCCTGAGATGTCCCCCAATACCCACTGCCACCAACTCAGACCATGCCTGTACTCTTGGTCCCACCTCTGAATTCTACCACCAGTGTCATTCACTAGCAGTAGAACTTTAGGCAGATAAGTTAAACTTTCTCTGCCTCAATTTCCTTGTGGTTAAAAGGAATGGAAATTTATACAACATCCCAGGGCTGTTATAAGGGTTTAAAGTATCAAGCATGAACTTGGTACATGAGATGCCTTAATAAATGCAGTTGTATAATAATGATATCACCTCTCCCAGGCAGCCCAAGTCTCCCTGCCCACATCACCAGTACCTCCCTCCTTGGGAATGTCTACCTCTCCTGGGTCTGATTCCCTAGCCTGGGGGTGAGAAACCACACCTTTTCCCTCTTTGTGTTCACAGGGTTTAGGGTTGTACCTGGTGGCACCCAGTTCATGTTCAGTAAGCTGATGATTAAGGAATAAGCGCATGAACCAACAGGCAAATGGAGGGAGAGCAGGGAGAGCACAGAAAAGATTGAGAGGGGCTTCCTGGAGAGGAAGGTGGGGAGAGGCTGGCAGAGCAGAACTTTCTGGAGGGGAAAAGCACAGGCATGGAGTGAGAAAAGATGTGAGGCATGTGGCCAGACCAGAAGACAGTGTGTGGAGGCCTCTGCTCCCCCACATTGAGGCCAGAGCCAGCCCATCTTGCTCTCAGATCTGCACACCTGCTGGCTCAGCAGGGCACTCTGCACCCTCAAGTATGGCTCTGGCTTTAGCATTTTGGGTGGCTGGGGAAGATGCAGAGCCTTAGGAAATCCTCAGGGCCACCAGTGCCTGCAGAAGTCAGGGCACAGTGGGGCAGGCACCACCTGGCCTGGGAATGCCAGTCTGCCAAGCCCTGGGCAGCCTAGGGCCCTATGGAGCCAAAGTGCACCCAGCTCACCCAGCCTGGGCTATCGGGTGCCCAGCCTCTATCCTGTCTCATGCTCCTTGTCCTCCCTGCTGGCTTGAGGTAAGGCTGAGAGGGTTACCTTTTTAATTTTAATGGGCTCCACCGAATGTTCCAGGATAGACGCGGCTAGAGAAGGTTTCTTCCTCCATCAGGCCATTGCTAATGCCCCATGGGTCCTAGGCTTGTGCTTGGACACAGCAGGGCCAGGCTGGAGCACTGCCAGCCCACCCTGGCCCTGCTGCCCCGCCACACATGGCCTCACCAAGTTCAGGTCTCCCCAAAATAGCCTCTCTACCCTACGAAAAAGTGCAGATAGGAGAAACATGGAGGAGCCAGAGGACCCAAACAGGCATTAGTGATGAGGAGGAGATGGAGGAGAAAGGTGACTAGGTGACAGCCCATGTGCTACTCATACTCACACACGTTCACACATAGTGTCTTAAGGAAAGCCCCACCACAGGCTTTTGGAGAGGCCGCATTGCCCCTTTTCACAGATAAGAGGCAGGGTCCAAAAGGTTAAGTAATTTTGCCAAGGACAGACAGCTATGATGAGATTGGTGAAGCTAGGATGGGCCACCCAGGATCTAGTTGCAAAGCTTTGCTCTTATCTGCTACACTATTTACTTTTCAATTATTCTCCAGGAGTGAAGCTATGATGTCCCATGCCATTTAAAACTGGCTGTTTGCATAGCAAGAGACCCCTGACCAAGGCCAGCTTGGGACTGGGATCTAGATCATTTCCAGCACCCCTGCTTCCGCAGCTAGGAGTCAGAAGGCCTGGGTCCAAAGCCCAGCACATTCACTTGGAGAGATAAGGAAGTGTAAGAGACAGGGAGCAGGAGCCATTTGGAAGTGAGCAAGGAGTCTTGGAATTTTCCAGACCCTTCCCCACAGGGCTGGGCAGGGCTGGAATATAGCAGGAGGGCAAGGAGGAAGAGAGGTCAGTACTTATGGCAAACACTCTGCCTTTTCTGGGGTGCCCTGAAGCTGTCCCCTCTCTGGCTGGTTGTTCTTCCCACTGGCTGGAACTGCCACAGTCAGAAAAAGGTGACCTAGGCCATTTCTCCCACAAGCCCCAGGTTCCAGGTGTCTTTGGGCCTTCCCTCCCCTGAGCTGTCAGAAGCTGGTATTCTCTCTTCTCTGGCTTCCTGTCAACTGCATTGGCCTGGCCATCAAAGCTCGGAGAGACGTGGCTAGAGAAGGTTCCTTCCTCCCTCAGGCCATTGCTAATGCCCCAAGGGTCCCAGGCTGAGCTTGGCCACATGAGGAATTCTTGTGCAAATCTGTACCTTGTTTGTTTTCCCCTCTGCCCAAATGGAGCCCCTGTTTGGTTAATTTCTATTTTGTAGCTTATTTGGAGGCTGTTAAAACAGACCCTGGGGGACCCTCAGCAGTGATTGTTCCATATCTCATTATCTTTCCCGAACCTGATTATTAGCTCTGATTTTTCTGATCGCTAGCTGCTGTTCGTGATGAGTTGTGTGCCATTCATGCCAGCTGGTTCCCTTAAACAGGACCCACCATGCCAGGGAAAACGAGCTGGCATTCCGAGCCCCCAGCCACTTGGCTTTTTAATTTTAATGGGCTCCACCAAATGTTCCAGGCCAAAGGGCCCTGAAGAACCAGAACAGACGGGCTCCCAGCCCCCCGATTTGCAGCCCACCCTGGGTTCCTGCCCAGGCTGTTGCTGTCCGAGGTGCTGGAGCAGGAAGGCCTGGACTTGGGGCCACCTCTGTACTCACACCCTCCCTGTCCCTGGCCCTTCACTGGTGGGTGGGCAGGGTAACCACACTAAGTCCTACAGAACTCCCAGCTACGCACATGCTCAGGTCTCCTCCTCCCCACTGCGCTCCTCCCCAGCCTCTGCCTGGGGCTTTCGTGTGCTGGCCTGCTCTCAGACACATACACATGCCTCCTAAGTCTCGCCTGTCCACGTGGGGCCTGCTAGTTCTAAAGCTTCACTCTTCATCCTGAGCTATTTGCTTTCCAATTGTCCTTCCCAAGGAGAGATGCTTTGATGTTTGTGCTTTGATGATGTTTGTGAACCACCTAAGACCAGCCATTTGCATAGCAAGAGCAGATTCCCAGGAGATGGGAAAAGGGCACCAAGAGCCACAGGTGGGATAGGACCCCTTGATATACAGCCTTTAGTCTCATGAGATATGTGCCTGGTGGCTGTATCCCTCAATACTGACATCTTTCTAGGCCAAAAGGAGCCTCATTTCTGCCAGGCTGGTGAGGAGACCCTGGGTGGGGCTGGGCCATGGCTGCATCCCCGTCCCACCAGGCTGCATTCTCCTTCCCAGCCCACATGGGCACAGGATGAGGGATGCCTGTCCCCTGGGCCTCAGCATTCCATCTTCATGTCCCCAGGTGGAGGGTATGTAGCTCTGCCTCACCCATACCCTGTCTTCCTGGCCCATGACCAGCTCGGCTCCTCTGCCAGAAGCCTCAGGATCTTTCTGGACAGGAGCCTCTCAGGTCCACAACTAGCTCACTGCTGGGAGCCACCTGTGCCGTCACCTAAATATCCTGAATGCACTTCTTCTTTCTCTCTGTTCCCACTTAGCACTTGTCACCTGTCCCTATATGACTGCCCCGGCCTCCCTACCAGGCTCCCCACTTCCTCTGATGTCCCTCTCTTTGGCTCTCCACAGCATCTGGGGTGGTCTTCTGAAAGTGGACATGGCCTTGCTTAAAGGCCTCCAGCCACCTGGCCATCTCCCTGCTCCTCCCATGAGCCATCCTCCACCCTGACCACTGTCCCTCTGTGCCTCCTCACTTTCAGCCTAAATGTCTGGCCTCCCCTTGGCTCAAGGTGTCCTTGATAGTTTTGCAAAGATCCCAAAACCTTTTCCTTCCTCGTACCTATCACAAGCTCTAAGTACCTATTTGTACACCTTAAAATTTTCTGAATCAAAATAATACATGTGTCTGATTTTTAAAATGGAAGAGCACAGAATTAATTTTTCCTGTGGACTCTTTAAAGTTCCATCTCTCCCAAAAGAACCTAGGTACCAGGCCACAGGGCTGTGTCTCTCCTGTTACTCACTGAACTCCCAGTGCATGGTGATATGAGCTTACTAAATGCTTCTAGAACAAATGAAGTGAATGATTTCTGAGGCAGAGGGGGGAAAAAATCGATAAAAGAGACTTGTCTTGGGAGCCACTGCTGTCCCTCTCGGCAAACACTGAGCACTGCTTGATCCCAGCCCCGGCACACTGGGTCTACAAGCCCCCTCCAGAATGTCATCTCACCCACCCTGACAGGAAGAGGGGACCAGAGAGGCTAGACCACAAAGGCTTCAGAGAAAAGGGAAGCCTGATTGAGTCCTAAAGGGTGAGTAGGGAGCAGCTTGGCGGGAAAAGAAGGGGACTCTGCAGAGGTTCAGAGGCATGGAATGCCAGGTTGTCTACAGGGCACTTGGAGGAGCCTGCAGCTGGCTCTGTGACTCTATCAATTCTGCCAAGAGGCCCTGAAGAACACTGGAGGGGAAGGCATGCCTGGCAGGAAGGATGGCATAAGGTCAAAATTTAGGCCCACCCTTGGGTGGTGGGTAATAATAGATCCTAATGGTGGTGGATTTAGTGGGTCCTGCAGGGCAAGGGTTGGGGCCCTGCAAGCAACCACTGAAGTACCAAAAAATGCCACCAGAGGGCATGCTTTGTAGAATAAACTCAAGTGGACCAATGACCTTCCATGGAGGTCAATTGTCCTCCAACCCCCAACTAGCTTGTGGCTCAGCAGTGGGCTCAACTGCAAAGTGACCGAGGTGGCTGGGACAGAGTTCTGCACAGGTTAAAGTGCCAGTAAGTGCATCTGTGGCTGAGCGGCTTGTTTGCTAGCAACAATGGCCAACCCTGACCACTGAACTGTCCCCAGGGACCAGTGTGCCACCTAGGGAGAAACCAATTACATCAGACCCTTTCATGTAGGAGGGGACAGCAACATGTCCTCCCCAGAATAGATGCAGGGCTGCTTTTCATGTCTGACTTGCCACTGCCAGCATCACCATCTGCAGGCTTCCAGAACACTTCAGATTCTGCTACAGGGTCCATGCAATAGTCCCTCAACCAAGAAGCTGCTCATAACAGAAGAAGCAAGATGATAACCTGGGCTAGGATGCACAGGTGTAGCCCTCCCACCTCCCTCAGACCCCAAGAAGGAGAGAAGGGTCTGGAGTCACCCTCTACTACAGAGTCAGCTAGATCCTGTATTGTAGAAAGGCAGGGAATGTTCCAGACTAAGAGCAAACACATGCAGCTGAATCAACTTTGGTCAGAAAATCCAGGAATCAAGTATGAAGATGGGCAGAAGACACAAAGAGTGTCTCAAAAAATTTCCTTCAGTCCCCACTGCTCCCGGGGGGACCTGAGGAGGTACCTGCTACCCAGAGCCTGGTTATAGTTCCTCCAATCTGGAAGCTAAAACACTACTTGGCTTTTCTCACCTTCTCATGTCACAGCAATGGCAGGAAGAAAAAGAGGTCTCTGTGTCAGCAGAAGAGTGTGTGGGGAAGCCAGGGTAGGCTCTGCTGCTGACATCACCCTGTGCCTCCATTTCCTCATCTGTACAGTGGGGATGAACAATGATACAGTGCCTGGCACAGTGTTAGCACTCCTAAGTGTCAGCTATTGTGACTATTATTATGATCATTTGCCAGTATTTAGGATCATGACCATCAAGGGGACCTGGAGTTGCCAGTAAGCAACTGGGAGGTATAGGGGTTCATGGGGATCCCAAGGCCCCTCCTTCCCTATACTCCAGTGTCTGGTAGTTCAGGGAAATAGCAACCATGTCCTATGCAGAAAGGACACCCCAGGGCCCAGAGCCTTCAGGCATAGAGGTTAGCAATTCTTCAGCAGGGAAAGGGCTTTGCCAGCAAGACCTAGCTGAAAGACAAGGTTTCAAGGAGTGACCACGAAGCATCTCTCATCATCTGGCTCTACTGATAAGCCCTTGACCAGTCATGAGGGACCTCAGCCCTGAGCCTTCCTCCCCTGTTCCACGTCCACCCTCCCCCAGGACCTGCGTCCATGAGTGGTCTGTGTGGTCTCCTCACGACTTCTCCTCCAGCCCACTTCTGCCTGAGTCCCTGCAATGCCCAGGTCCCTGAGCGCAGGACAGGATTCCCGGTGTGGTCCTCCTACTTCCTGAGCCAGGCACTCACAGCACTTCCGGCCCTGGCCCCCTCCATGGCTCACCACCCCACACCTTCTCACACGGCTCTGAATGTGGCAGCCACTTGTTTTTGGATAGTGTTCCTTCTCCTGCCTGCTTCTACGTGTGCTCTGCCCTCTCTCTGCGACACCCAGCCCTGCCTTCCCCTGGATTTCTCAGTCTATCCTGAGTGAGCCCCATGACTGAATTAGGCGCCCCTCCCTGGTCCCCTTGCACCCCGAGGCCTTCACCATGATTCTGACTATGTCAGGGTGAGCTCAAGTGTCCCCTCTTGGCATCCTGAAGGCCCCAGCTGCAGCCCAGTCTCTGTAATATTTCCAGCACAGAATAGGCCCTTGAAGGGAGTCAGTGAGTGGGTCCCATCTCCTCTCTCGCCCTTGAGGACAGTAAGGGCCATCCCATAATCATTCCGCACAAACTCCCAGTGAAAACACAACGAGGACTGAGAGGCTTCCTTTGTTAAAAGACGGCAAACTGTTAGATTTCAAAAATAACTTAAGACGGAATTTCTTTTTTATTCTCAAGCAAGAAGCCAGACACTGCCAAATCTATTTAGGAGGTTCACTGCAGGCTCCTAACCCTGGTGGTCCTGGAACCAGCATGAGACTTCATTCAGGGGGCATGAAAACTGGGGATCCCTGATTCAAGGGGGATTGCTGGCCAAGCCTAGGGGTTCTTCTGAGAATGGGTGAGGGTCCATAGAGGAGGCTGGCCTCCACCTCAGCTCACCTTCGTCCCTGGGACCTGCTCTCAGCCTGTCAGCCCCATCCAGGCGCCTGCATGTGGGGACTCGTTTTAATTAATGCCAGAGTGGGGCCAACCACTGGGGCCGTGACACTTGTTTGCAGGTCATCTCCCCCTAACAGGCTCACCCTGGGAGGGGATTTGTCACTAATTGAAGCAGAGATCAGTTAATGAGGCCGTGGGGCCTGGGGTTCCAGAGAACAAGGGAAAGGAAAATAAAATAAAGCCTCTTTCTTGGGAGGTTTTGTGATTTACACACACAAAAGAAAAGCAAGCAGGCTGCAGATTTTCCAAGTCAGAAACTCGGCTCCATCTGCCGAAGTTAGCCCCTCACTGTGTGAAGACATCAGGCGGAGGGACGCCACCACCGCCAAAGCTCACGGATGGGAGAGGACAGGGACCTCCCGAGGCCAGCAATCAATCAGAGGCCTAATTAATAGGTATTTATGGAGCAGGGCTCTCTGTTCCCCTTGGGGGGTTGGAGACACCGTGCCTGTCCCTGGTTAACTTGTAATCCTGCTGGGGGACAAGACTCAGGCTGTGGAACAATGAGAGGACAGGGACCTGGGGCGTAATTGAGAGTGTGAGGAGAAGTTTCTAGGAGTTGGGCTGGGGGGACAGTGGTTCAGGCTGGACAGGGAAGCCTTCTCCAGGGGGCTCTAGGGCTAGGCAGAGAAGAAGAGGGAGGGGGTGTCCCCCAGAGCAGTATGAGGCCCTCATACCCCACCAGGTGAGTCCCCAGTTTCAGGGTCTAGAGGCCCGCAGTCCCTCATACCTCTGCTGGGCCCAGTCTTTAAAACACCCACCAATCTGGGCTAGGTTGGGTCCTGGGAAGTGGGTGGGTTGGAATGACTGGTTGTCCTTTGGTGGGACAATGGGGATTAGGGACACAGAGAGTCCAGAGCTCTCAGAAGAAGGTAAATTCCTATTTCTGAGCTCCAGGCCTGCAGGGGGAGGAAGTCCCACCAGGACAATGATCCCCATGGCTCAAGCCCTTCCCCTCAGGGCAACTCAATGTCCTTTCCTGAGAGACCTCCTCCCTGCCCCCCACCTGTACATCTCCTAGAAGAGAAGGGGGTTTTCAAGTGCTGAGCTAGGCAGGCCATCAGCTCCTTTCACCCTAAGGAGCCAAGAAGTGACAAAAGGGAGAACGAGGCCTTTCCCTATCTTGGGACAACCTCAGCCCAGCAAGCCCCAGAATCAAGAACCTCCACTCTGACTCCTAGATGAAGTCCCATGCCGGGTGGCAGGCAAGCGTTGGCCTTCTCCTGGAGACCCATCTAAATATGTTAGGCAACATGTGGCTTCTCGCTGGCAGTAAGACATAAAGACTTAGGGAAGGAGAGAGATCCTGGGCATGAGATGGGATGCCCCACTTAACAGCCATTTGGAGATGAGTTGGTTTACGTGGGAGTAAAACAAATGAGGCCATTTCAGGACAGCCCCAGATCTCTACTTCAGAAGCACAGTGAAAGTATGGTGTCGGATACAAAGGGTCATTCCAGAGTCGTGAACACCGATGGTGTTTATTTAAGGATCCAGGGAAGATAAGGAAAGGGAGGTTTTACTGAAAAATTATTGTATTTGAATTCTTCCATTATATGTGGATTTGCCTTTATTAGCATTTTCTAATTATTTTTTTTTTCTTTCCAGTTACATGTATTTATTATGAAATGAAAGTAATGACAAAGTTGTGAAGGGACACTTTACCCTCTGGAGTTAGCTATAGGAGGCCACCCCAATGGAATTAGGAGAGTATCAGATAGTGGCACAGGGGTGGTGTCAAGGGTGGGACAAGGGTGGGCAAGGTCCTGGGAGCCTTGTCTAAGGTCCCGAGCCTCCACTCTGGCTTGGTCCAGGCCCCTTGCCATGTTGCCTCCCCCTCTGTCCTCCTCTGGGAACAGGGACCCCTCATCCATTGACACAAATCTACAAACTTCATAATAAGTAGCTGCTCTATTCTTAAAATCCTGTGAAGATTCAAAGTGAGGCCGGACAAGGAGGCACATGCCTGTAATCCCAGTGGCTCGGGAGGCTGAGACAGGAGGATCACAAGTTCAAAGGCAGCCTCAGCAAAAGTGAGGCACTAAGCAACTCAGTGAGACCCTGTCTCTAAATAAAATACAAAATAGGGATGGGGATGTGGCTCAGTGGCTGAGTGCCCTGAGTTCAATTCCCCGCCCCCCCCCAAAAAATTCAAAGTGAGCCTAATGCCATTGTCTTGAGGCATTCAGGATAAGTTAGACCTGTGACCACACAACCAAGGCAACAGAGAGGGAATGACAGTACCCCAGGAGCTCAAGTAAAAAGCAGAGAGGAGCTGGTTGATGGGCCAATCTTGCATAGGCAAGTGCAAAAAGTGAAGACCACCTGCTCCAGGAAGAGTGTGGTATGGGCTCCTCTAAGGACAGACGTCCTGTCCTCACCATCCATGTGATCCCACCCTCCCCTCCCCTCCCCTCCCCTCCCTGCTCCTCTCCTCCCCTCTCCTCTTCTCCCCTCCCCTCTCCTCTCCTCTCCAAACCATGGAGCACTAGCATGTACACTCTCACTATGGGACACTTCTCTGCCTAGAGAGCCTCCCTCACTGCTCCCCTCCCAGACCCTGACCCCACACCATGGCCTACCCTGGCCCTCAGACAAGGTCCACCCACTCAAGGAAGCAGCAGAACTAAAGGGCAGGGTCAGGGCATTACTCACAGCAATGGAGACAGCGCTGATGACAGCTCCCAGGTAGCCCTGGATGAACTTGGATGCTGGTGAGGGCTGGAAGACAAAGGTAGAATTGCAGACCCACTGTATGCCCAAAGCTCCATGTTCCACCCTTGCCAACAGCCCCAGCCAGCAAGAAGCAAGCCAGTCCACCAGCCTGGAAGGTCTGGCAAGGAGGAAGAGGTCCCCCAGGGGAAGCCACAGGGACCCTGGACTCTCTCAACTTTGGCTCCAAATATTGGAATACAAGGAAGCAATATCCAGGAAGGTGCTGAAAGGCCTGTTTCACTCCTGCCTTCTTCTACAAAGATTCCAGGCAGACATTGCTGGCTAGAGGTGCAGGACAGCAAGGGCCAAAACGAGTCATTTATGATGGGGTGAACAGTTTCCAGGTGAGGAAAGCTAAGTGTCAAGAGGGGCGCCTAGAGCACTGTCCATCATCCACGGCCATCCACTATAGTCTAGCCAGCTCACCAGGGAGAAACTGGAATTCATGTCCACACAGGACAGTTCCCAATACATCCATTAAAAAACAGAGCCCAGCTAGATGAAGTGGCACATGCCTGTAATCCCAGCATCTTGGGAGGCTGAGGCAGAAGGATCACGAGTTCAAAGCCAGACTCAGCAAAGGCGAGGCACTAAGCAACTCAGTGAGACCCCGTCTCTAAATAAAATACAAAATAGGGCTGGGAATCAGGCTTGGTGGTTGAGTGCCCCTGAGTTCGATACCTGGTACAAAAAAAAAACAGAGCCCAAGTTCCAACATAGAAAATTAAGAAAAAGCTAGGGGCTGGTCATGTCCTGCTCTACAATTGCTGTTGTGGAAGATGCTTGGTTTAAGGCAAACAGAAGCCATCCAAAGGGCGACATGCATGGTGAAGCCTGTAAGAGACTGGATTTGAGGTTTAGATATGCGGGAGGTAGCTTCCTGAGTCTCAGGACCCCCCCACCCCAGGTTCCTACTGCCTAGGACAACTTCTAACTCCTGTACCCAACTCTCCTCCAAGGTTAAAAAATGCCAAGACCCTCCCCTATCCAAACTGACAGTGCTCCCCCCGCCCACCGAGGACCTAGATTCTTCCTCTCCTCCCTTTGCCTTTGGATTGAAATGTTGAATTGACAGAAGGGTGGTGGCCTTGCCAGGAAAGCAAGACTCGGCAGCCCTCTGGGACACTAAGAGGGTGATTGGGCCTCCACATGGCTTGTTGAAGGAGTGCAGGGGACTTTGGAGAGGAGGTACCAGTGTTCTTAAACCCCCACCCTCAAGAGCAGTCCCTTGATTTTTGTGGCCAACAGTGTGGGGACCAGGGTCACTGAGAAAATTTCCAGGGAAGCTTGGAGGAAGCCATAGGGGAATTTGGTCCCCAAGGGGCTGATGCCAATCAGGATCTAGTATCTGAGCAAGAGATGCACAAGAACGTGGGCTGGGGCTGGGGCTCAGGGGTAGGGCACTTGCCTGGCACAGGTGAGGCACTGGGTTCGAGCCCCAGCACCACACATAAATAAATAAAGTATTGTGTCCATCTACAACTAAAAATATTTTAAAAAGAAAGAGAGAGAGATGGGCAAGAGGAATTCTGAAGCCAGCAGAATTGATCCCTTGCATAAAGGAATGAAATTGATCAAATTATGTCATGTGCGTGTACAAATATGTCACAATGGATCCCAATATTATGTATAATCATGATGTATCAATAAAAAATTTTAAAAAGGAAAAAATAATCAATTCCTTGCTCATTCCCCATCCTACTCCCCTTTCACAGGCCACCTTCCTTCATGCACAGTCCCCCTTGCCCCCCCGCAGGTCCTGCCTGGAGACTCCCACGGGCCCTGTATAAGCAAGGTCTGAGTGCACCACCCCTGCTTGCAGAGCTGGCAGCTTAAATAGGGTGTCTCCAGGAAGACAATGCTTTATACCAATGATGGCAGCATGTGACACTGTAAGGAGGACCGTTGGGTCACCCTCGCTGAACCCACCACTGAGCTGAGGGCAGTGACTCACCTTGGTAGCATTGCGGTTTGCATAGTTGACACAAGCATTGTGGCTCTGGTTCAACCACTGAAAGGCAACAGGGAAAGAAGTCAGGGAAGGCACTGTCATCTTCCTGGAAGCCAGGCCTGGGCCTCTGGAGGCCACACCTCCCCAGAAAGACACACGATGCTGTCTCCGGCTCACAGGTATTTCCCTCAGTCCCCCTGGTTAGTATAACACATTGTCCTGGTTTGCCTGGAGCTGTACTGGTTCTCGTATCAAAGTCCTGGGTCTCAGAAAACCCCTCCATTTCTGGAAAATCAGGATGCGGTCTTGTCCACCCCAGTACAGAGACTGTCCCCTCTCCTAAAATTCTGGCATTCACTCCCCCAAAGGGCCCTACTGCCTTTGCCATATTATCCTTATTATAATATTTGCTGGACAGAAGGTGGAATGATTGACAGCTTGCACCTTTCAAAAATCTCCTAGCCCAGTGCTCTGTACCAGCTCTAGCACCCAGGTCAGAGGTCCCCAGCAGTCTTTTTCAGGGAAGATTCTCTGACATTTCCTCTCAGGAGTCAGACAGCTTTTCCTTCCTGGGAAGGTTTTCCCCTACCCAGACACACACAGACATCCTCAGCTGTTTTCCGGGAACTGCAACACACTGTCTCCAAGGGCAGAGACCAGGCTCTGTGATGCACTTCACCTCCTCAGGGTGTCGCAACCTTGCCCTACAGATTTGGGGGAGATGGATGTCAAAATGAAGCTGTAGGCCTCAGATCAATGACCATGGGACGAGCAGCCAAGGAGTAGCCACCCACAAACCATTGTGGTCCAAGTACAGGCCCCCAGCCCCCTCTTCACCTCTGTTCAAAGGCTAGAGTGACACATAATGGTCAGAGTCCTGCTGACTCCTGACAGGGGGCCTGCTCAGCTGGGCCAAAGTCTCAGGTTTTCCTCCAGTGGTTTCTGGGCTGGGGGAGTGGGATTGGCTGACTCTACCCCAGGGGCTTAGAATAGGAGAGCCCAGAGAAGGGAATTCCTGACCAGTGCTTGTCTGGGCTCTTCCTTCAGGAGCATGCTGTTTGCAGAGCCTCTTACCTGCCAGAAGACAGTGGATGCCAGTGTTTGGTTGGGTAAGAGAAGACCCACCACCTGTGAGGAAGAGAGGGGAAAGGCTGAAGAAGGCAAAAGAAACCCCTCACACCTTTTGCAAAAAAAGCAATAAAACTATACAGCCAAGGGCAGGGGCTCATGCCTGTAATCCCGGCCACTTGGGAGGCTGAGGTAGCAGGATTGCAAGTTCAAAGCCAGCCAAGGCAACTTCGTGAGACTGTCTCAAAATAAAAAATAAAAAGGGCTGGTGAGCCGGGCATGGTGGTGCATGCCTGTAATCCCAGCAGATCAGGAGGTTGAGGCAGGAGGATCATGAGTTCAAAGCCAGCCTCACAAAAGCAAGGTGCTAAGCAACTCAGAGAGTTGTCTCTAAATAAAATATAAAATAGGGCTGGGGATGTGGCTCAGGGGTCGACTGTCTCTGAGTTCAGTCCCCCCCAAAAAAGACTGGTAATGCAGCTCATCTGTAGAGCACCCCTGGGCTCAATCCTCAGTATGACACATGCACATACACACACACACAAAAAAAAAACAGAAGAAAGAAAAGAACTACAGAGCCACAAACAAGAGTGAGCTACACCTGTACAAACTGATGTGGTTTGATGTGTTCATATAAACAAATGCCCACAGAGGGCTGGTAAAAGATGAAAAAAATCAAGTAGCAGAATTATGTTATAGCATAATCTGATTTATGTAAAGAAAACCTTCTCAGTTATAAACACATACACACAAATATCCCCAAGCATGAAAAAATTATAGCACAGCATAACCATTAATTGTGGGTTTCTCTAGAAGTCTGGTTACAGGCTACTTAACTAATTTACTTATTTATTAGTACTGGATTGAATCCAGGGCTTTGCACATGCTAGACAAAGGTTCCACCACTGAGCTACCCCCCCAGCCCTTTTATTACTTCATTAATTTATTTAAAAAAATTTGCAGTATTGGGGATTGAACCCAGGAATACTTTACCATTGAGTTATATGACCAGTCCTTTTTTATCTTTTATTTTGAGACAGGCTCTCGCTAAGTTGCTGAGGCTGACCTTGAACTTGCGATTCTCCTGCTTCAGCCTCCCAAGTGGTTGAGATTACAGGTGTGCACCACCACCACAGTGTTCGGCTTTGTGTTCTTTTTAACAATGGAGGTGCATTATTAATGAAGGGATGGAGGCCAATAAAAACAAGCAAACAAAAGGAACATATTCACAGACATTCAGGTAAACTGAACTCCTTCATGCCCTAGTCACCCCATAAAATTTTTGTGATGATTAAATAAGAATCATTTCAAAAGCCTCAAGTGATTTATAAATAGAATTTTTTTTTGGGGGGGGGTATTGGGGATTGAACTCACAGATGTTTTACCAGTGAGCTATATCCCCAGCCTTTTCTTTAAAAAAAAAAATTTTTTTTGAGATAGGATCTTGCTAAGTTGCCCAACTTGCAATCTCCCTACCTCAGCCTCCCAAGTCACTGGAGTTACAGATATGTGTCACCACACTGGGCTTATAAGTGGAATTTGAGGGAATTTTTTTTTTCATCTCTGAATCTCCATGAACCAAAAACTTATACTATGTTTAACCTACTGACTCTTAGATATCTAACAAATGGTTGTTGAGTGAATGAATGATGGAATGTATGAATGAATGAATGAATAACACATATACAAGGCTAAGCATGTTTACCAGGTTTACATAGGTGTGGATCCATTATACCCAAGCCCAGATAGTAGCTCAGACCTAGACTCACTGGCTAATTCTTTTGATTTATGTCAAGATGAACTGTTTGATCTTGACATTGGCCATGCCTTGGACTTCAGGATCCACGTGTAATCCTCAATATTACCTTTTGAATGTTTGTGTGCAAAATAACATTTACCAAGTATTGCTGCATATGGGAGAAATATGCACAACCATCCACATATTGACTTATTTATTATTCCTGTAGATAAAATGGCTCTTTGGCAAGAATTTCTGTAAGGAACAAGTATAAACATTCAATACTATGCAGTAAATCAAATTCTAGACATCCTCAGCAGCATTAGTAAATCATGTTTTAAACATTAAAATGTTTTAAAACAGTGAACACACACACATTTATATTTATTGGCCCATATCAGTTTGAATAAAATTATATAATGTAAAGCCATTACATAGCTCCAATGAGGAGTTATGAGATTTTTCTCCCAGAATAAGACCTGTATTTGAATCTTCATTTCAGAGGCAACTTAGGAACCTGGACTGAAAGTCAGGGGACCTTAAGTTCCAGGCTCAGGTCCATCCCTGGGGTCTCTAATAGATGACAGATGACAGTTCCCTTTGGGGTTTGAGTTTCTACCTATAAAGTGCAGGATAAAGGGTCTACCTCCATTTAAAATTCTACCCTCATGTTCCAAGTGGTAGGTATGATGTCAATAGAGATAGCCCTAATGTTTGGGATGGGATCTTGTAGGCTGAGGAGTCTCCGGGGGGACCTAGGCCTCCTCCTGGCCAGGTCTCAGTAGGAAGCCAGAATACAGAGAGGAAACGGAGCCTGGCGGGGGTGGAGACGAGTGTGCATATAGACGTACACATGTACATGTCTAACTGCCTCCAAAGGCCTGGGGAAATTCACACTGCCCACCGTTTAGAGCGCAGTTTATTATTTATTCCCCTTCAATCTGTAGTCTATACAACATGATGTGTTATGGACGACATGCTCTTCTCTCCTGGGGTTCCTCACTGTACCCCTGACCTGTGCTGAGGCCATGGGGAATGTCATAAGATTCAGCCTCATGGAACACACTGCACTTACCCAACAATGATCCAGAACACCCCTAGTTACATCACAAGGACCCCTTTATGAATTACCCTGAGAGAAATTCTGTTCTTAAGAGTCAGAAATTATACTTCTGAGCAACTGGTTTGCATGCGTCTTGCTGACCTTGGCCATTTTACTGCATCTTTCTTTGTACTGATGGTCAAGAATTTGAGGGAGGGTCTCTGTGACCACATCTGCCAAGGGTAAACTCACGCTGCAAGTTCTGAGCCCAGAAGTCATCCCTGGCTTCCTCTTATCTTCCCCTCCCTAACTTTCCTTGTATCTTTTTCATCTTGTTTAATCACGTGGCATGCATATTTAAAAGTGATAAAAAGTCTTGTCCAGAACAACCCAGAGCCCCAAACCAAATTAGTACATAGGCTATATAACACACAGGCAGACACACACACACACACACACACACACACACACACACGTTGACAAATGAGCATTCTACCTTGTTGAACAGCCCCCACTCCTGTCCTAACAGGGCCTGGTGGCTTTGCTGGCAGCTCTGTTAAATCTCCTCATGCTGTCTTAGAAATGGATTAATTTTTGTCGAGCATTTCCCTGGATGCCACTTACCATAATCCTCATAGTAACTCTGGGGAGCAACCCAAATAGATTATCTCCCATATTTTGCAAATTGGAAAACTGAGGCTTGGAGAAATTCAGTGATCTGCCCAAGACTTTACAGCAAACCAGAGAGAGAGTTGGCTCTCTGGAACCGTGGTTTGGCCACCATGACTCTCTAGTTTTAGGGGTGCTCCTTCTCCAGCTTATCCCCCAGAGCACAAAGGGAGAAGGGATTCAGTCACCTCTCCAGCCCATCTACAAAGAACTGTCTCTGTGTCACGTTCCAGGCTGCTCCCAGTGGGGAGAGCTGGAGCAGAGAAATAGATGGTCCCTGATCGCCACAAACACAGGGACCAAACATGGCAGTGTACAAGAATGGCCTTTGTAGCATCTAGGCAGGAAAATGGCAGCCTGGTTGGAAGTATGTGGGGTGTGCACAAAGCTAATGCCCACACGGGAGTTTGGGTCGTCAGTGTGTCCTGGCTATGTGATCAAGGAAGAGGTAGAACTGAGATGAGGTATGAGTGAATGGGTGTGTGTGTGTGTGTGAGAGTGAGAGAGAGAGAGAGAGAGAGAGAGACAGACAGACAGACAGGAGCAGGGACAGCCCAGTGACTGGTCTGAGAAGGAGGGTAATCAGCAGGAGGCAGCTGGAGAAGATAAGGCAGAGAACGCCAAACCATGTTGGCCAAATGGACCCTGGGAGCCATTTGAGGCCAAGGCAGGGGAGCAGGGTTCCTGCCCTCCGGGTCCTTACAGCCAGGCGGGGGGACCAGCAGCGTTCAACGCCAGCTCCATTCCCTATTAGGCAAAACGCAGCACCATCTGCACAATCCCAGGAGCAAGAGCAGATATTTTATAACTTCCTTTTTTCTTTTTAAGTCTACATTAAAAATAAATGTTCCCTTCAGCTCTCAGATGTATATCTCTGGTGCAACCTGCCCACATTCCCTCCCGCTGCCCTTTCCAGAACATGGCAGGGGAAAGGAAGAAAGAGATGGATAGAGAGAGGGAGCCAGTCCACCCGGCTCCAATGCCAGTGGATCGCACCTCTTCCAAGAGGGAAACGCTGCAGGCGTGGCCGCGCAGACGGTGGAGAGAGCCCAGAATGCGCCGGTACCAAGGAAAGTGGAAGGAGAGCGAAACAGGAGCCAGCAGCTAGGATTGCTACCCAGCCTCCACCCTATCTTGCTGCAGGACCTTGGCCAAATCGCACATCCTATCTTTGCTCCCATTTATAGTTCATACCATGGCTGGAGTCCCCTCTGCCGCTCCAGTCCCCTGGCGGCTGTCTTCTCTGCACATCTGTCTGTATTCTTGCTGTCCCCTTCCCCTCGGGTGCATCCACAGCTGAGGACCCTAGTAGTTAACATTCAGCTTCTGATCATCTGATGCTAATGCTAATACTGACCACATGTAGGTGACTTGAGCTCTCTTTGTGCCTGTTTCTTCATCTGTTAAATGTGGGGCACCCCTGGCACCTCTCTGGGTGGTCAGGAGAGGAAGGACAGCATGGGAAGAATGTGGCTCAGGGTCTGGCGCACAGCTCCTGCTCCTGCAGGCCAGCTGTTAGTGTCATTCCCCTCCCACCTCTAGTTCTTTTCCAGCTTCTGATGGTCCCTTCTTTCTCTGAATCCCACAACTTGCATTACACAGTTGAACATC